CCCCACCCCCCCCCCCCCCCCACAATCTAGACCCTGAGCCCTAAATGAAAGGCTATGGCTGGATCCTTTCTAGACTTTTGTAGCATATTAGTATATCACAGTCATAGGTTGAGGGTTTAGGGTTTAGGGTATAGCACTTGTCAGGAAATCCATATATGCACTAATATGGCACCGTGGGTTTTATTGTACGACAATACTACAATCTATGTAGTGTGTTACGACATGTTTGCTTGCTGTCGTGTACTGTTGTCTCCTATTGTAGTATATCAATATAACCGCCTGATGAACTAACTCCCTTCGTTTTAAGGGTCTTAGTCGTATTGAAATTCGGTTTAAGATAGGGGTGCTTTTAGTCACGGTTCTACATGCTGATAGATGCCCCTCGAAAGGAGCTTTCTTACAACCCCAAATGATTCTGGGACGAGAGATGGCCACTCTGTTGTTTTGAAAGGGGGGGATTAAGTGTAGGGGGTTTAAAACTTGTAAGGTCGGACGCTTCGGCTTTACCCTTTAGGTTTTGACGTGTGCAGGGCTCAGGGTTGCGTGGAGGTTCATGAGTGGGCACAGCCAGGCTTTGGAGTAGGGTATTCGAATTGGCGGACAGGAACTAATTACCCAGGTTAGGTCACTTGCAGCCTAAACACGAAAGCCAGAACCCCCAATCAAGTCCGCATAGCTCTCTTACTCTAAGCCCAACCCTGAACCCTAAACCCCGCCAGTCTAAACCTCAGCCCGAACCTTACAAAGCCCGACATTCTACAGGCTGAGGAGCGGGCCAGGCGCGACATGCGGGAGTTTGTGGTTTAGGGTCGCGGGAACTGCACATAGATTGTTAGAAAGTTTGAAATGTCTGAGTAGAGATGAGCATATGCGCACATGTGAGTACCACATACATACATACATACATACATACATACATACATACATGCATACACCTTAGATATATGCACACGTACATAGTTGTTTATGCTTACACATACGCACTACATACACACTACATGTACACCTCGATGTGAATAGATTTGAGACGGGACAGATGTTGTTTTGCCTGAGGCTGTCCTGTTCCTGTACCCCGTTACTTCAGTCCTTCTTCAAAAGTAGACCACGTGGCAAACCTAGCATCTAGGGTTTGACTTCGACTGTGTGGTCGAGGTTTTGGATGCCCGGTCCAGTCCGTGCTCATTCGCTCGTGAGGCTGCTGCCCTTCACCGTAAATGCCAAAGCACGCATACTCTTCACCCAGACGACCTAAACCCCAAGGCTTGTAAACCCAACCGTGACACCGACGCCGTAGCCATCCGTAGCCGTAGCTTGAAAAGAAGAGTGCCTTGTCACTATCATTGTGCTTTCTTTGGGGATGAAGGTTGTTAACTAGAGGAGCAAGCAACCATCAGAGCAAGCAGCCACTTCCTTGAGAAGGCTTTCAGCGTGATTCGGAATTTTTGCTTTTGATTAGAAGGAGGGAGTCCCCATCTACCTATAGTCTCCATTGTAGTTCCCGTTTTTGGTTAACCAATTTTATGGTTGGGATCCTTTCTTATTAACTTGGTTAACCAAACAAAGGAACTACAATGAAGACTATAGGTACCCATGGTAGGCATTGCTTTTTGAGATGTGCACAACCCTACACCCGGAACCCCGAAGAGTCAGAGCTCCGGGGCAGCCAGGGATCTTCGCGCCGAAAGTGATCGCCTGCGTGCGGAACTCGCCCGTCGGGTGCACCCAGGGGATGAGGAACTATAAGTGTCGCATTCTCTTCGGGTCCGGGGGCTCGGGATTGAGATTTGGGGGGGTAGGCCTTATTCTTGTAGGTATTGACGTATCAGCATCCAGTGATTGGAGGGGTGCTCTCTTGAAGCGCATGATGTGCATCGTAAAGTCTCTGAATCAAGTATGGGCCGTGCGTACAGCTTTGGCTCTGTGTGGGCTAGCAACTTCTTGTGCATAGAGGACTCAGCAAGTGATGGTGTGATGTCTTACGACCACGAAGCACCGTACAAAACCTGAATTGTTCAAACATGCTCATGTGCAGCGCAGTCGTCGGGCTTCGCAGTGGTAGTGGCAGCAGCAGGAGTAGAAGTGGCAGCAGAAGCAGAGGTACAGGTGTCCAATGCAAGTCAGCAAGAACCCATGGCCTCATGGCCGAAATCTACAGTCGGTAAGGCACCAAAACCTAAACACCGAGCCCCACATGCCTGAGCCGAGATCCTATTCGCTTGGGCAAGGTCTTCTTCCTAATCTGTGGAGACTGAACCTAAACCCCAAGCCCTGAACCTTAAACCGGTGATCTATAAGCTTATGTCCACTGTGACAGGCCCGTGCAGCTTGCCAAAAACACTGACGCCCTGTCATTATGGAATACACCATGAATCGTATTCAGGGTCTCTCCTGCTTGATTACCGACCCTGTAAGGACCCGCCCTATAAGAAACTCACCAGATCCGTTAGCTTCTCGAATATCTTGGAAACCTTGGCAAGCCCCTATAAAGAAAACCGCGTAAACGTTACCACTGTACCACATAAAACTTATAAAAATGCTTATCAGCCCTAAATCCTAAACCCTAAACCCCAAACTATAGAAGGTCTTATCACTTTTCCTTAAACAGACCCTAAGCCCTAAACCCAAAACCCTAAACTATAGAAGATCTTATCACATTTCCTTAAACAGACCCAGAGAACCCAATACCCCTTAAGTAAGGAATATACCTTAAATTATAGGGGCCTTAATATTATGATTTAAAGTATATTCCTTAATTAAGGGGTATTGGGTTCTCTAGGCAAGGTTTTCGAAGCCGGCGGGTCCTCCGAGGTCGATCTCCTTCGGAGCTCTTGGCGGCTGGCGAGCGCAGCGGACACCTTACTCCAGCGGTTCAGGTTTAGGTGGGGTTCCAGGCCTTATCCAGTATATGTATGTGTATATATATATATATCTTATATATTTATATTTATTTATTAGTCTTTGTAGATTGGCCCTAAAGTACCTAAATAGGGGTTACATTCAGATTCAGGCCAAAGTATATACTTCAAGGTTACATGGACCCTTAGGGTTAAGGGGCTTTGAGGGTTTGGGGCTTCAAGGGCTAGAGACTTGAATGAGTACCTATCTTGTTCCTCGTAGGCTCCTTAGCATCTAGTATCTGTAATTATCTTAGGGAACCTCGGCATAGTTATGTAAAGTTATAGCATGTATTTTATCTGTAGTATATGTTTCAATGAACCCCCAAAGTTCAGTGCTCGGCCGCTCTCAGCTGGAAATCGCCCTCGTCCAGAGCAACAGAGCTCTACGGTTTAGGGTTTCGGGGTTGAGGGTTTAGAGTAAGAAAGTAAAGGCAAATGCGTCCACCAACAAGCCCTATTCTAATTGCGAAGGATCCTATGTTAGTCCAGGCCCTAGAAGGCGTTTTGGGTTTTATCAGGGTTGAAGCCTTCAAGAGGCCGTAAACTGATAAGTTGGATCCGTACTAGGAGGTTCGAGGTACTATCGCCAAACCCTGGCTGTAAGTCTCACCCAGGTTCAAGTCCCCTACGGTAGTGACCTAGCCTATACTTTTGCTGTAGATGTCAGAAGTACGGCTATACTGCATCAAGGCACCTCTAATTCTCGAATTACCAGTGCTGGCACGACCTAGAATTCAGAGTGTGCAGAGCCTCGATACCCGGGATTCGCCAGATAATACATTCATCGTGCAAGTGTTGTCTTTCAATGGTGGGCGGTTATGATTATTTCGTGCCTAAACCCTAAACCCTAAACCGTTCTTTTCTGGCTTCAATGGCACAACATGAAATGAATCTGATTTCGACATCTGGGCCAAGGTTTGCAGACATTTGTGCCGCAGTGTATGGAGTATGAGATGATGGGTTTCTAACGAAACAGATCTAATTTAATGCAGATATGAGAAAATGACTGAAACCATGACAAATTTATATATGACTTGCAGCATGTTGCAGCTATTGTCAAATTGTAGCTCTTGCGCAGCTATAATAGCTATTCATCACCATCATGTGTTCAATCATGTTCAGTTTGGTTAATGTGACATATCGTGATTCTCACAAACAAATACGTTCCAAGAAAGGTTCATATTTTCGCGGTTGTCATTTCTGTTATTGATGTTGATTAAGTTTGCGATGCTCATGCAATTCAGCTCCGATTTGTTCATGCTGCTTTCGTAAAACTGTCGTACGCCCATGACTTTCTTCAGAGTTTCCCTAACCAATAATATCATATCTTTTTCATGCTTTTCATAATCCAATCCTGGACTTCGCCGGGCGACATGATTCTGAAAACAATGTCTGAAACTTATGGGCAAAGTCATAATTCATAAGAGTCGTGTGCTGAATATATTACAGCGGGCCCCCAAAACCGTATTCGAATTAGTGAGGCCCCTATGTTGGCTCGACACCGAAGCTGATGTTCCGTAGGATGCACAACATGCAGCCGAATCGGAGCCCATGCCTCAGGTCTCGATGACCGCGAATGGGCTCTGCTCTCAGGATGGACCCTTCCAGCAAAGGTGCAAGCTCCTGGTCTCGGTGTCGCAGGGGCCAAGACGCTGGCAGTGGAAAGGTTTGGGGGAGATGTGTGACCCCTGCGCACCACATCCAAAAAAGTAGTTTCCCCCATAAACTCGGCAAGACCCGAATCTGTTTGCGAGAACACCCGAAGTAATAAAATAATAGGAACTGTCTCCTGTCTCAATCCTTTTTGGCCTGAATGACAAGCCTGAACTGAAAGACTTTCGGTGGCCAGTGCATACCCCAAACCCCAAATCCCAAATCCCTAAACCCCTAAACCCTAAACCCTAAATCCTAAACCGCAGCTTACCGAGTCAGCATTGCAGACGTCAGGTTTAACCCATCAACCTCTTGGCCTCCGAACCCCAAGCCCGAAACCTGTAAACTCCGAAACCCTACCATAGGGGCCTTAATAGTTACCTATATTATTTTGGGGGTTCCTTAATGTAATTATAGTAAAATGGGCCTCAAAACCCTACTCTAATTTTTAAACCCTAAACCCTAAACCCTAAACCCTACTCTACTGAGCCTCCAAACCGCTTCAATCCTGACCTTCCTACACCCGAAGCCTCCGACTCCCAGCTTCTCGTCTGGCTTCGGATTGAGGGTTTAGGGTTTAGGATTTAGGGAAGTTTAGGGTTCAGGGTTTGGGGTTTAGGGAGGGTTTAGGGTGTAGGGTTCAGGGTTCATGGGTTTAGGGTTTAGGGTAGACTCTAAAGCTTCATCCCAATTTTTTTGGGAAATCTTGTGCCGGGCTCAGGCTTTGAAGCGCGAGTGGTGCAAGTCTCAGCTGCCTAGGGCTTCGGGTTGGGGCAATAAAGCATCTCCTTAACGGGACCTTTACAGCTTGCGGGAAGGAGGGCTGGGTTTAGCGTATGTGGTTTTTGGGGTTTTCGGGCTTTCGGTGTGTATGTAGAGTTTGTTGGTTCCCTGGACTCTGCGGATTGCTAGTTCTGATTCCTTGAAACTTTAAGATAGGGTGGTGCGTATTCATGCATCCGTGTCTGTCTGTGTGTGTGTGTGCACGCGTGTGTGTGTGTGTGTTCTGTTCTGTGATTTCGGTACGTACACGGTTTCGGTATGTAGAGGTCTTCGGGTTTATTATGATATGTAGGTCTGACAGGGCTGGCCCTGAATGCCCAGATTCTTGCTGCCGGTGCTTTGAGGTGCAAATTTCAGGCTTAATATAGGGTTCGCAGGAAAGGCTACGTAACAGAATATACCGGTATAGTCTCTATACTACGATTATCGCATACTGTGGCCAAAAGCCCTTTTCAAGTTCTCGAATCAAAGCCCCTATATTGCCCACGGAAACAGTAAAGTATATTGTAGCCAGCCCGTGACTTGGGCGTTGGGGCTCTGGCTTGTTGTCTTCGGGTTTTGGGGTTTAGGGTTTAGGATGGGTTTAGGTTTAGGGTGTGCTCGGCAAGTCGCGTGCTGTTTAAACGTGCAGTAGCATAAACACATGCTCATCCCAAGGCCACCCATACACTACTCATAGCAATCCAAACAAAAGCCAAGCCGAGCCAACAGTAAAAGTATAGAAGATAAAACACGGGAGCATGTGGGAATCTAGGTTCACAACAGACAGTGGATGCTGTTTGCATGACGAGTGGATGCGGCGCGCACATGTGTGAGAGGTCACGGCGGTAGGTTAACATCGCTACGGCGAGCCTTGAGAAGGGGACCCTAAACCCTAAACCGTGTGGGCCCATGTTCATGAAAAGTCAGCGGGGGCATCTGCCAGCTTGGGTCCCCACGCCCGTCTGGAGCTGCCTCTAGCATAAGGTACGGAGGTTGAGGCGTTCTGACCTTCAACCCAAGCATATCGCAACGAATTGCTCAAAAATCGTGGAGTGATGGCTAATATAGGAGTCTAAATAATTACCAATGCTATCTTGGCGGCTTCTTATTATAATTGTAGTATAAATGGCCCCAAAACCCTATTCTAATTTTTAAGGCCCCTACATAAGTCTGTGAACTTGATCATTGAGGAGTTACAGAGCCCTGGGACAGCCCCGAAGCATCGGAGGAAGCCGTGGGAAGTATATGGGTAGGTCTCTAAATTAGGGTCCCTTTTAGGGTCCTGTTTATAAGGGTGTCGTACTATATTGGGGATTAAACAGGGACCCTAACTTAGAGAACTAAACACAAACTTCCCTGAACCCAGGACGGATCAGCCCTTCCAAGAAGGGCCGGAAAAGAATCGCGAGCGTCTCGAGGTCGTTTTGCAGGGTTTAGGGCTGGGGGGTTGAAGTTCCGGGTTTTTGGTAGTTTTATGTAGGTTCATACACAATGTGGCAGTCAGTGCCCCGATTCTATTTCAGTGCTTTCGTAGTTGCCTTAAGCCCCAATCTTGCTTTGTTTTTTATGTCAGATGTAAAATGTTCCATCTTTGTTAATTATTTGTTAGAACCTTGAAGCCTAAACCATAAATGTCATACCCTAAACCGAGTGTGGTTATGCGTTTCCGGAGCTGAGACGGGGGTTCTTGAAGCTCTTGTTGTTAATCGTCAAAGTGGGCGTGACTCAACCCGAAAGCAAGCCGGGTCTGTCTTGTCAAGAATTTAGTCGAGATATCTTGATTGGGAAATTCTGGAATTTGCTATGTACCTCCTATACTGATCTATGCTTAGTATGTTAACGTAAACCCACATCCAGAAAACCTTACAGAACTCCCGTAAATTTCGCAACACTCTTTTCACGGTCGCTATCCTAGGTCTCTCTCACCACCAAAACGAGTACAACATAAAACAGTGTCGAAGCCATATCCCGAAAAGGATTCATCATAGCCCTCTAGACTTGAGCCTGGACGTGGAAGCCCTTACGATGGTTCTTCCCGGTTGCCCTGAGGATAGCGGATAGTTCTAATTGTGGGCCATGTCTTCATCTTGTCAGGCATCTCTATAAAGGAGCGAGTCTCGCAACATACGGCTGATGGACAAAATCCTGCATGACCTTATATTATATACCTAAACTATGGGAGTTATGGTACTATACTATAGTTGGGTCATGCAGAATTTTGTCCATCAACAGTATTGAAGGGTCTTGGGCCCCATCAGTCCTTGATTGAGACCGGTCATGCCTGGAACCGTGACGTTGAACCCATGACTCCCTAAACCCTAAACCCCCCCCTAGCCCTGTGTCTGCATGCGCTGCCTAAACTTCAGCTATAAAGCCCAAGGTCCCAGTGTCCTGCGGGTTGAGACGTCAACAAATCCTAAACCAACCATCCTAAAAAGCTGGACCATGACGGATTAGGGTTTGGGGTTTAGGGTTTAGGGTTTAGGGCTGGACCATGACGGACAAGATACGGGCCCTAATGATTACCTATACGATTTTTTTGGGGGGTTCCTTATTACAGTCATAGTATAATGGGCCCCAAAACCCCGTTCTTATTATTAAGGCCTTTTACATTAACGGACGAGGCCTTGAAAGACCGCAAACCATCGAACCCGAAACCATCCAGATGCACAAGTTTTAAAGAGAGCGCTTGGAGACCTAGCCAGGAAGTTGATAAAGCCGTAAAGTTTTCAGTTCTGAACCAAAACCCAACCGTCAGACACTCAAATACAGAATGTTCGACAAGCACAACACTGCACGAAGAGTAAGCCTCTCACTCCACTCACACCGCCCCGAACCCCAAGCCATAAACCCGCAAACCCTAAACCCGAGAATCCCCAATCCAATCCTAGAACCTGAGACAAAACTCCCCAAACCCTAAACTAAACTCTAGACTCTAAACCTAAACCC